GTAGTTTTGTAATATTGTCGTAGCCCTAATACAAACAATCAGTGTTTGAATAGTGTTTAAAGTGGAGCAAGAATGACAAATCAAATCTCTTATTTCATCGCTGAACCTCACCAAAGCCATGCTTTTGCACTGCCTTCCTACACTGGGTCATGTCTTAACATTGCTTAAACTCATTACTCAATGTTCTCCAAAGATTTCCTTTACAAAGAGGCAAGAACTTTGTTTTTTGTTGCACCAATATAACCACCACACTTCAAAGGTTTTGACATGTAATTATCAGCAAGTTCATGGCTTTCTTACATGCTCAATTCTCTTGATTTGTGTTAATATAACAAGCAGCTCTAAAAACAGGCTTTTTATCAGATACAGCAAGTTACATTATGATAATGCAAACATGCCAATAATGTAACCCAGGTATGTTACTTAAAATTCTTCCAATACTTTACCAAATCTTATTGCAACAGATTTGCTTTTGGTTTAATAAAAAAAAAAAAAAGTTGCGTTTATTAAATTAAACCCATAAGGCCTGCGATTACAAACCAATTTCAATTACATTCAAACGTCAACTAATTCGATCCATAAGGAAATTTTTAAAAAGCTCACATGAGGTCCAGATTCATTAATAAATCAGAATATTTTTAATTAGTTTCACAAATTTTATTTTCAACAATCCTGCAAGTGGTGTATTTTTAAGACCAAAACTGTGTAATAACATTAAATCCCCCAATAAAGGTCTATATATTTATTGTGTAAAGAAAACACTTTTCAAAGCTTCGTCATTACTTAACCCCAGAGCAGACTCAATTTCACCAAAGTAATATAAAATCGGTTTCATATCCCTCTCCCTAATGCACTAACACCTGTAGCTGATTTGTAAACAATAATCTGGCTGAAATTCAATCTAAAAGGCACAACTTAAGCAGAAGTTCAGCTGAAACACCTGGAAAACATGGTTCCTACTCCAGATGTAACAGCTGGCCATCTTACATCCGAGAAGCTTATTTGTTTTTCGTGCTAACACCACCTCTCCATGACACTTTGTGAAGATTTAGCTCATACAGACTTAATTAAAAATAAAACTGAAGTAAATATCCAAGGAATGTGTTTCTTATGATATTATTAGCCAACTGAAGCTAACTGAACTGTTTACTAAGGCTACAGGTGTCTACTTAGCGTTATGTCACTGCTGTCTATTATCTAACTCCAGCATAACCTTTCAGCCAGCACATTGACACATAATAACCTTACGGGGGAATTTAAATAAAAGGGGGGTTATATATTATTGATAATCGCAGTAGAAGAGCGGAATGTTGCAGCTAATGTTACTCACTCAGTCAGTTGGCACAGCAGCAGCAGTCAATGCACAGTGATGTTTCCTACGCAATTCTTCCTGGTAGCCTTTAAATGTCAGCAAAGCTACAAGCCCTGGGCTACCTTCAGCAACACCTGAGAGCGACACCTCGCTAGCTACCTGGATAAACACAGCAAACGGCCAAATGTGTCATGCTAGCATTAGCTACCTAATGCTACCTAGCAAAAGAGTTCGCGAGATGATGTTGATGATAATGTGCTTTTTCTCCCTCCCCCTCGTCGTATAAAGCGGCGGCTTATTTGTGTTAAGCACGTCCTAAACAGTACAGGGCTAACAACGGTAAACGCTAAGCCTGGCCGCTAGTTTTATCGAGATAACTTTCCATCCACAGCCTTGTTCCACGAATAATAAAAAGGCAGGAATTTTTTTTTTGCTCGCCGGAGCTTAGTGCGCATGCGCGGCCGAGTAACTCTGACGAATCCCCCTAAATTCCAAGGTAGTGAATGAAAGCATTTATACGGTTGTCTCTGCGCGTTCGATTATATTCGTAAGCAAACGGAGGGAGGTGACGGGGTGAGGCATTCACGGACCTCGTTTGGTTGCGCACATTTCTGTTGGTTTTTCAGTAGGACCCTATGGTTGACGTGTCTTAGAGTGGTTCGTCCAAGTCAGCCACAGATAGACGAATTCGTCTGCAAAATAATAAGCTACAATTTGGATGTACTCCTCTTTGAATACATAAAATACATATATTTAATCCAATTTGTTTAGAGACATCACCAGGTTGCATGTAAAACTCTGCTTCTAAGTGTGTTAACTTATCCTGTCTCTAAATACTAAAGGTGAAAATATCCTTTTGACTGTTTATGCAAAGGTATTCCTTAATCATTTCATGTTACAATCAAAAAAAGATTCTTAAAGGAATTTTATGTGATAGACCAACAGAAAGTCAGACAAAGTTGTGATGTTAAAGAATGATAGATGGTTTTCTATTTGTGTGTGTTTAACTTTTATCATCTTAACTGTAATCCAGTCAAACCATTCTATCTATCTATCTATCTATCTATCTATCTATCTATCTATCTATCTATCTATCTATCTATCTATCTATCTATCTATCTATCTATCTATCTAT